ATGGGATAAACCCCAAGGGTTTGGCTTATGGAAAACCACAGGATCAAGTCATTAAAAAGCCCTGGGCTGTTTCACTTTGAGGTTTTGTCTCTTCCCAGGGTTACAGAGCAGAACTTACAGCTGAGGTCCCTTCTCATCAACTCCTCCAAAAAGCAGCGCGACACCAAATGGACGAGACTGCAACAGAAAGCAGCCAGCGGGTCAGGCAGGGCTGAGGGCAGAGGCAGGGGGACACGGGGGGGGTCCTGGAGCAGCCCAGCCCACCGTTACACACCATTGCACCGGGGTCTGCATCCTCCTCCCCAAACTGCAGCGCCAGGTTGGACACAGCCTGCGTCACGCTCTCCACGGTCATGGTTTCATTGTAAGTGAACCAGTGATTCTGCAGGAAAACAGGGCTTCAGATTATCGCTCTGCTCCCCAAAGGTGACAGTCCTGGATCGTTTGCAGGCTGCTCTGCAGCAACACCCTGCTGAGAGCTTTGCCCCAGCCCCTCCTGGCAGGCAGTGCACACAGGGAGCGAGGTGCTCAGCCACAGGATGGAAGTGCTGAAGCCTCGATGCAGAGCGAGCTGAGAAGCAGAGGAAGGGTCCCCCAGAACAGCTGGGGACATCTGGGCCTCGGGTACCAAGCAGGAAGAGGAAGGCAGAGCACTGTCCTCACACTCGTGGTGCCCACTGAAGGAATGGGGTGGGACTGGCATAAGATTCCCCCACCTGTTCCACATAGAGAAGGAATGGCAGCGGAGGCCGCACTGCCCGTCCTCAGGAGCTGCTGCAGGAAGCCACGCTGCTCACAGGCCTCCCGCTGCCCCCAGCTCCCCTACAACCACCATCCCACACCAGGGACCCCCCCAGCACCAGCACCGCTGTTCTGAGGGCTGTCAAGCCTTACCTGAGTCTCCACTCTCGCTTTATCAATCAAAGTCTTGGCATCAGCTATTAAGCCGCTCATGGCGCACCCTGGAATCAGAGAGGGAAAGAAACCACGAGTCATTTCAGCAGCCATTTGCAACCTGCTCTCCCCCAGGCTTCCCACCAGCCACACTGCATACAGCAGAGCCTGGGTGGGAGCAGCCAGCAGCGCTGCAGAGCACGGGGTGGGATGGGGGTGGGAGGGGGGGTGGGCACAGAGCAAGGCAGTGCTTCCTATGAGTGCCTGCACCAGGCTGGATGCGCAGCCGGAGGGCAGATGCAGCACCAGGAGCTCCAGGGACTCTTCCCAGCCACCCTGATGTGAACCAGTTCAGGGAGACACAGCTGAGGCTTCTTCCAAGAGAAGGGGAACGCATCCCTCCTGCCCTGGGGTTCAGGAGCTGCCCCTGCAGGAGCCAGCAGCACCGAGCTGCTCCCGTTCCAAGGGCTGCACCACGAGCACAGCGAAGGAAAGCAGAGCCTGCAGGAGCTCCTAAGTGCCACCATCCACCTCCTCAGCAACGGGGGCATTTCGGAGGCCTCCTGCTCTTCACACTGACATATTTGGTAACGAGAACTTTGTGGGCCCCCTCGGTGCAGGAGCAGGGGTACAGGCACCAGCGCTCTGGGAGAACCTGGCCTCGAGTCAAGCCTTTACATTGCAGTAATTCCCTGCCCTCCCAGATCTAATTTTGGGACGAGCTTTCATCAGGGAGGTCACTGAAGGTGGGGGTGCTTCAGCTGCCTCTTCCTACTCCTGTAACCACATCCTGCTGGCCTGCAGCCTGGAAAACCAGCAAGCAGAACCCGATGCTCACGGGGAGAGCTGAGCATTCCCACTTGGATTGCCAGAGCTGCCCGCAGGAAAGGCTTGTTCTTAAACACAGCTTCAAAACCCACAGGGACAGAGCTCTACTGTATGTATTTACACACAGCAACGATCAGACAGATGTCCTGGGGGCAAGCAGAAGTAGGTTTCTCCTTACCTATATGGGAATCTATTTCTACAATCTTCTCAATGCTGCTGGGCTCCATGAGCGGGGAGGTGATCCTCTTCTCCACGGCCAGGCAGACGCCCTCCGAGGTCTGGATGCCGATGGCCGTAGAGCCGAGCTGCAAACAGCCACAGTCAGCACCTCCATTGCAAGCAGGACCAGCTGAGCACAGCTGCACGGCTCTGCCAGCCAATGCTATTTGCAGGCACGTCGTTCTGGAGACAGACAGCTCAGGACAGAATCCTGTCCAGGCCGACGTGCCAAGCTGAAAGCACTATGAGCGGCACTCGTGGCAGAGGGAAGGTGAACACCATGATATTCCCCACAGATCAGAAGCCAGCAGCTCCAGCTCTCAGGAACAAAGAAACCGGACCATTCATCAGCTGAGAACACTGAGAGGCTCAGAGAGGCCGCACAGCTCTGCAGTCACAGGTCAGCTTGTTCACAGGCTGCCTCCCACCTTCCTTGTCAGGGCTGAAAATTCACCTGAGCAAACTGTGCCTCACTCTGAGCTGCACAGCAGCAAGCAGAGAGAATGAAAATCAGACCAGAGGGAGAAGAGTTGTGGCTTTTTCTTTTCTAAAGGGGCACCACATCACAGACTGTGAAGTAAACTCCCTCAGCTCAGGGCAGCAAAGAGAAAGCACAGCATTCCTTTGCTGCCTGGGGAGCATCTGTGGACATTAAGCACCCGATGCCCCTGGTGCCAGATTCTGCAGTCAGTCAGGCTGCGTGAGCACTCAGGACCTTTGGCTTCAAAATGAGCTTTTCTGATTCTGGGAGCAGCTCTTTGGGTTTGGTTTTGCTTTGTGGGTAAATGTTCAAAGCTGCAGCAGCCGTCACTGCTTCCAGTCACACAAAGCAGATGAGCAGAGCTGCAGGAGGCGCCGCTGGGTGGAAGGAATTGAGTGCTGGGACACAGACCTCCTGCACTGCAAATTGAACATAAAAGGCTGGCAAAGAGCTGCTGGCAGGAGCAGCACCTATTGGGAAAGCAGTGCCTTCCCACTCCTGCAAAGCACTGCACTGCTCTGGGAAGGTGGCCAAACCCTGCTTCACTGCAGAGCAAGACCAGAGCACGAGAGAAAAGAACCTGCCTGGCTTTTCTCTGACCAAACTCGCTTTGAAAGATCATTTAACATCACAGCATGACAGCCAGATTGTGCTGACAATACCTTAATGGCCTCGATTGCATACTCCACTTGGAACAGCCTCCCTTCCGGAGAGAAAGTGTTCACACCCCTGCAAGACCAACATCAGACATGGTGTGAAAGGCAGAAAGCTGAAGTCCTGCTGACAGAGGACAGGTGACACAGGGGGGCTTTGCACTCCTCACCCCAGCAGTGCTGGACTGGGGATGCTTATCAAGCAGAACAGCAGATACCAGTGAGCTGGAGGGAAGGTTGTTCTCATCCCACTTTGCACTGAGGACACTGGAAACAGAGCCCAGGCAGCAAGGCCTCAGGCACCGCAAGGCAAAGCTCTCACTGGCAGATGTTCCACAGCCCCCCCAAGGCCCCCAGGCCCCTTCCCAAAGCCAAAAAACACTGCTGAGACCGAGGGCTCCATCCCCACACAGAAACCCGCAATGGGTTTTACGCAGCCTGCTGCCCCCGCACTGGGAAGGCACTCATGGGGTCACAGAATGGTTGGGTTGGAAATGATCATCCCCTATCTGCTGCTGCGGGCTGGATGTGCACCGCCAGCTCAGGGCGCCCAGGGCCCCATTCACATCCTCGGGCACCTCCAGGGATGGGGCACCCACCGCTCCGGGCAGCGCAGCACCACGTTAAGGCTGAGCAACGCTCTCCTTACGGCCTCAGGGCTCTTCCAGGCTTCCAGCGGCGGCGCGGAACAGAAAGCGCTTTGTAAGCGCCGTACACAGAGCGGAATCAATCCAGAAACGAGGCCGAGGCAGCACCGCACGTGTCGTGCGCAGCTCCGCGGGGTGACGGGCAGTACCGAGACCGGGCCGCTGCCCGCACTGCCCGCCGCCGCGCCCCGCGGGACTGTGGGAGCAGGCCCGTGACTCAGCCGCAGGCCGCGAGCGACGAGGAGGGAGCGGGAAGGGCCGACCGGGGGAGAAAGGGCACTCACCGGTCGTACTCGGAGCGCGTGAGGAACATGGCGGCGTCGGGGGGCGCGGGGGCGGTGCGGGGGAGGCGCGGCGGCGGCAGCGGAACCGGAGCCGCTCTGCCCTCGCCGGGTTCGCATCCACTTCCTGCCGACGGCTCGCAACTCGCACGCGCAGCCCCGCCCCTTACGTCACTTCCGCCCGCGCCACGAGCCCATTGGTGAAAAGAGAGAGGAGCGCGGCCAATGGGAAGGCGAGGAGGGCGGGCTCGGCGGGGAGAGAATGGGGAGGAGCCAAAGCAGAGGGGCGGGGCGAGGGCTGAGCGGCAGCAGAGCGGGAGGGGGCGGGCACACGTGCATGGGGGCGTGGACAAACGATTGATGGGCGTGGCCAGATGAGAAGTAGGCGTGGTCAGATGCGAAGTGGGCGTGGCCGTGCGATGCCGGCGCGCGGGGCAGCGGGCAGCGCCGTGGGGTGGGTGAGGGGCGGGGACCCCCGGTGGCTGCCGGTGCTCAGCGGGTGCCGCTCCGCTCCGAGCGCAGTGAGCCCCGCGTGGGCGTGGGACCCCCAGTGTGGGGTGGCCGCCCTTCCTCCGTTCTTCCGCTTCCCCCCCTGCGCGGCGCTTCCTGCCCGGTACGCGGCCGCACGCGGTCGTTGGGGTTCCCCCGGTACCGTGCGGGGCGGGGCGCGGGGGGATGCACCGCGTTCCAGGGGTGGGGGGTCCGGGAACGGCCCCGGGCGGCGTCGGTGCTGCTCCGAGGGTCCCGGTTTGGGGGACGGGGATGGACGGAGGGACGGACGGAGGGAGCGGTGGGTGCCGGGGGCGGGGTTCACCCCACTACTGGAGCGGGGGGTGCGGTGGGGGCGGTCCGGGGCCGCCCCGTGCACGGTGGTCGCGGGGGGGGGGGGGGCGGGGGCGGTCCGGGCTGTGCCCGGGGCGGGGCGGCTGTGCCCGCCCGGGGGCGCTGGGGCTGCGGGTGGCGGCGCGGGGGCGGCTCTGAGAGCGGTGCTGCGGCGGCGGCGGGCGGAGGAGGAGGAAGAGGTGGCAGCCCCCGACGGCCCCGACGGCCGCGGCCATGGCAGAGTCCGGAGCCCCCTCGGGCGGCGACAAAACGCCCCGGCTCCAGGTAGGGCCCCGCTGCCATCCGTGCCCGGCGCTGCTCCCCGGTGCCCCCCTTCCTCCGCAGCCCGGTGCTCCCGCGGTGCCCCCGTTCACGCCGATCTCTCCGTTCCGCAGGACCGGGTCCTGGCCGGGATGCGCTGGGGCCGCCTCCAGGAGCCGCTGGGCTTCGTCAAGGTGCTGGAATGGGTGAGTGCCCCCCGCAACCCCCCACAGCGCCCTCAGCTCTTTGCCTCCCTCCTCCTCCATTTTTGGAGTACCCTGTCGTTGCCCCAGTGCCCACAGAGGGACCTCGGAGCCCCCCTGCCCACATGACCCCCTCCCAGCTGTGGGTGGGGGGGATCCCACAGAGGTCTCCTGAGGGGCTCCAGGTGTGGGGGCTGCTTGAGCAATTCACGCTGCCTCCCCGGTGACCTTGAGCAGGTGGCAGCGCCCAGCCATGCCCAGGGGGACAGTGACAGTGGGACCTGAGGGGTGGGGGGGAGGGGGGGTACATTGGTGAGTGTGGGGCAATGGAGGGTGGCGAACTCAGGAGGGAACGTATGGGGCATGGAGGGGCAATGCACGGCCCCCTCCCTGTCCCCCTGTGCTATGAATGGCGCCAGGATTGGGTTTCAGGGCTGAGGGGAGGGCAGCATTTTTCAGCGGCACAGGTCTGGCACAGGGAAACTGAGGCACGAGTGGGGATCAGAGGGGGGGGGGGGGGGGGGCCGGTGGCATTGGGGATCTTCTGCCTGGAGGAGTGGGGCCAAGGAGGGTCAGCCCCCACTGTGGCCCTCAGCCCTGAGCAGCGCTGGCTGTGTGGGATCAGACCCTGAGTGCAGCCCGAAATGGGAAGCGAGAGGAGAACCCACAGAGAACGAACGGGAGCCAGGCTGCAGCGTGACACGTGGGGACGTCCCACGCCAGGGACAGCTGTCAACACTCCTGGTTCCACGAGGGAACACCCACAGGAGCCCATCCCCGTGGCACTGAGCCTGGCTGGGAGGATTCCCCATAGCCCAGCAGCATTCGGGGCAGTGCCACCACTGTTGGGGCACGGGGACAAACCGCGGCGTCCCTCAATGCGGACACTCCAGCACTTGGGGCTGGGCCTAAAATTAGAGGGGATGAGCAGGGTTTCCCCCCCCCCCCCGGTGCCCCACGGCCCCGTTTCACTGCCGGTGCACAGAGCTGGCGCACAGGGCTGACAGCTGCAGGGTGGCATCGCGCCCTGCATGGCCGTGACTCAGCGCCGGGGGGGGGGGGGGAGTAGGGGGGAAGATGTGGGGCTGCGGGGTCTCTGGGCACCCCCTGACCTCTGCACTGCCATCCTGCAGCTCTTTGCCATCTTTGCTTTCGGGGCGTGCGGTTCTTTCAGCGGTGAAAGCGGGGCCACGGTGAAGTGCAGCGGTGAAACCAAAGAGATGAGCGCCATTTCCGTGCAGTTCGGGTACCCGTTCAGGTGAGGGCTGGCCGAAATGGGATCCCCTGCACAGCCTGCGATTCCAACGTGGCCACGTAGGGACCCGGATGGGGCTGGGTGGGATGTGAGGTTCAATCCTGTGCTCGGTGCCGGCATCCTGAATGAGGTGTGAGGGTGGGATGGGGACGCTGTGGGTTTGGTGCGCTGGGGGCGGATGTGGGGCTTTCTCCACTCTGTGGGTGGTTTGCAGCACCTGCTGCATCCTGCAGGGGATTTGGGCACAGCCGTGGGTCCCGGCTCTGTGCCCCCCTTCCCCCAAGGACCCCTTTTGCCCCATCCCCTCCACTCCGGGTGCCACAGCCACCCCCCGGCCCCGTTCCCCCCAGGTTGTACCAGATCCCCTTTGAGATGCCGGAGTGCGACGGCGAATCAGAGCCGCGCTTGCTGCACCTGGTGGGCGACTTCTCCGCTCCAGCCGAGTTCTTCGTGACCCTGGGGGTCTTCTCCTTCCTCTACACCATGGCAGCTCTGGTGCTTTACCTGCGCTTTCATTCCCTTTACGCCGATAACAAGAAGCTCCCGTTCACGGTAAGGGCCGGGCGGCGGGCGCGAATCCCACCCAACAAGCGCGGCGCTGAGCCCGGCCCCACGGCATCCACAGGACTTCTGTGTCACCGTCTGCTTCGCCTTCTTCTGGCTGGTGGCGGCGGCGGCGTGGGGCAAAGGGCTGAGCGACGTCAAGGCGGCCACGAGGCCCTCCAGCCTCATCGCAGCCATGAGTGTGTGCCAGGGCCAGGACGTGGTGTGCAACGCCGGCGCCACGCCGGCCATGGGGCTGGCCAACATCTCCGTGGTGAGCAGGGGGGGGG